ATTAAAAAAACAACTGTCTGAGGCTCTGGTGTAGTGCCTAAGGTGTCCGATTGCTAAGCAGAAGGCTAGTGGTTCAAACCCACCAGCCACTCCTCAGAAGGAAGACTGGGCAATCTCTTTCTGTAGAGATACTGCCTCGGAAACCCAAGGAGGGGTCTCTATGAGTCCGAATCGACTTGACAGTAATGAGTTTGGGTTTTTTTGTTTTGTTTTGTTTTGTCTGAGGCTACTAAGGCTAAATTCTAGATAAAGGATCAGGGCTGGGCAATTACCGTGGTCTGTGGTAAAACTAGTCATGAGGACTCCTGGGCACCTGATGACTGGCTTTCTGCCAGGGAGTATAGTACAGAGGTTGTTGTTATTGTTGTTAGGTGCCAGTAAGTAGGTCCCAACTCATAGTGACTCTATGTACAACAGAATGAAACACTGCCTGATCCTACAGCATCCTCACAATTGCTGCTGTACTTGAGCCCACTGTTGCAGCCACTGTGTCAATTCAGCTCACAGAAGGTCTTCCTCTTTTTCACTGACCCTCTATTTTACTAAGCATAATGTCCTGCTCCAGGGGCTGGTCCCTCTGGTAACATGTGCAAAGTAAGTGACATGCAGTCTTGCCATCCTCATTTCTAAGGAGCATTCTGGCTGTACATCTCCCAAGACAGATTCACTTGTTCTTCTGGCAGTCCACGGTAAATTCACTATTTTCCCCCCAATATCATAATTCAAAGGCATCAATTCCTCTTCAGTCTTCCTTATTCACTGTCCAGCTTTCATATGCATATGAGGCAACTGAAAATACCATGGCTTAGGTCAGGTGCACTTTAGTCCATAAAGTGGCATCTTTGCTCTTTAACACTGTAAAGAGATCTTTTGTAGCAGATGTGTCTAGGACAATGATCATTTCATTTATGACTGCTTCTTCTGTGGGCATTGACTGTGCATCCACGTAAAATGAAATCCTTGACAACTTCAATATTTTCTTTGTTTATCATGATGTTGCATATTGGTCCAATTGTGAGGACTTTTGTTTTCTTTATGTTGAGGTATGTTGTTGTTGTTGTTATGTGCCGTCGAGTCGGCCCCAACTCATAGTGACCCCTCTTTGGGTTTCCGAGGCAGTATCACTACGGAAGTAGGATTGCCCAACCTTCCTTCCGAGGAGTGGCTGGTGGGTTTGAACCGCCAGCCTTCTGGTTAGCAGTCAAGTGCTTTAGCCACTATGCTACCAGAGCTCCTATGTTGAGGTATAATCCATACTAAAGGTTGTAGTCTTTGATCTTCATCAGTAAGTACTGTAAGTCTTCTTCACCTCAGCAAGCAACACTGTTGTCATCTGCATATGGCAGGTCATATTGCAGGTTGTTAATGAGTCTTCATCCAATCCTGATGCCACATTTTTCTTCATAAAGTCAGAGTACAGTGTGAATAAGTATGGTGAAAGGATACAATCCTGACACACCTTTCCTGATTTTAAAACATGCAGTATCCCTTATTCTGTTTAAATGACTGCCTCTTGGTCTATGTACAGGTTCTTCATGAGCACAATTAAGTGTTCCAGAATTCCTATTCTTCTCAGTGTTATCCATAATTTATGTTCCACACAGTCAAATGCCTTTGCACAGTCAATAAAGTATAGCCTTTGCATAGCCACAGAGTAGATACCAAACCTAAACCAAAAACCATTGCCATCAAGTCAGTTCCAACTCATAGTGACCCCATTGGGTTTCCAAAGCTGTAAATCTTTACAGAGATAGATTGCCTCATCTTCCTCCTGCACAGCAGCTGGTGGTTTTAACCTCTGACCTTCTGGTTAAAAGCCAAATGTCTTACCTACTATACCACCAGAGCTCCTTAGAGTAGATACAGTATGTCTTAATTTATCATACTAAAACATGTACTATAACAAATATATGCCTTTCTAGCTTAAAATTCATCTTTGCCTTTTCAACAAATGTATTCTAAAGTTGCCTCTAAATAAAAGATAAATAACCATTTACTGAAGATTTACTACCCTGAGCATACATTCTTTATATATCAGTGTATTATTTCATTCCAGCCTTATTAGGGCCTTTGAGCCAAGCATTATCACACCCATTTTATAGATAAAGCAACTGAGACTCAGAAAGTTTAAGTAGCTTATGCAAGATCACACAGAGAGTAGGTGGTACAGTTAGGATTTGAAAGCCTGTCTGTGTTACACCCAGCATACCCTGTGCTACTAACAATTACCAGATCTCTTTCTTGCTTATTTCCTTGGGATCCATTTCATGGAATAAAGACTAAGTTACATAACCTCTTTCCGTCTTTGTGCACATGTGCCCCAGAGCTCTGTTTTCTTTCCCTGTGCCCCCACAGGAGACACACAAGCAGATCCTGACTTTGGCCCTGACCCATCACCCATCAGGATTGAAGCTTAGCTTTATACAAGCTCATGTTACCACTTCTTTTTTTTTTTTTTTTTTTACACCTATTCATCCTATCAGACTGTCTGATACAGTTTAGGGCTATTTTGGGCCTTCATTTTTTCACTTGAGTACATATAATACCATGGTAACCAGATTATATTTTCATTTATTCTCATTTCATTTTAGGTTTGGTATTTAAATAACCTAGTTGAATTTGAATCCACATATCTCATCTTATCCCTTTAACCACCTACCTCCTCAATATTAGCCAGTGTTTTCTTTCTAGTTTTAGCTTCTAACTGGGAAGTTACTGAAAATATGCTATGATTAGGATATATTCATTTTCCTTTGAGCTCCAACACCACTGCTTGTAATTTACAGTTAAGACAAGCACTGTCTTCCTAAGTTTCTCAGCCACACCACTCTTTCCTTCCCAACCCCAAAATGCAAATCAATTGATAAAGAGGGCAGAAAGGTAACAGCAAGAAAAACAGTATTTTAGCAATTCATTGTTCTTTTTCCTCATTTTTCTAAGAGTGGGGAGGAAAAAAATGTATCAAAGCGATGATGTTTAACGTTCCGAAGCTGCTGTTTATGACATACAGAGGATGAATATGCCTGGTCCCCGCCTCAACAGGTCGGGAGTGGGAGACTTTATTATTTTCAGTATGAATGCACCCTTATCAGCTAGTGGAAGCAATCCCCTATAGGTAGATACTTAGGATGGTCCCAATATTCCATTATTATTTTAGTTTATTATTATAAACTATTATTATTATTAATTATATTATTATAAACTATTATTATAAACTATATACTATTATAACTATAAAAATATTAATAATTATTATAAACTATGCTATCATGTATCAACAATGAACCAAATGCTCAGATTATACTTTATCAGACACTGCTCTTTATCAGACTCTGTTCTAAGTGCCCTACAGATAGTATCTCATTTAATCACAAAAAGCCATTTAAAGTAAGTACTATTATCATCTGGTAGCATACTGCCTAAGGCATTTGACTGGTAACCAGAAGGTTGGTGGTTCAAACCACACTCCTTGGAAGGAAGGTTGTGCAATCTACTTCCATAGTGATACCTCCTCGGAAACCCAAGGAGGGGTCACTATGAGTCGGGTTCGACTCGACATCAGTGAGTTTGATTTTTTTCTGGTTATTATTGTCATCATCTCCACTTGAAAGAAGAATGTAACAAAAACAGTAGTAACTTGCTCTGGGTCACAGAGTTCCTCAGAGGTATAGCTGAGATTTGAACCTAGGCTATCTGACTCCAGAACCCCTGTTCTTGAACATTATTCTATGCTAACCCTTAGCAAGAGTCTAATGGGACTATGGGAACTCAGGCAGCATAAGTTTAGTAAACCCATCCATTAGATGAGGACAGAGATTCTTGTCTGCCCACCACCCTACCCCAGTGCAGCATCCCAGCACCCAGAGCAATGACTGGAACACAGCATGTTCAATAACTATTGATTGATTGAATGAATAAGTACTGGAATGCCCCTTAAATCACAACCAATAATGCATTTATTTTGTGCTGCCTATTCTGTATAAGGAGCTATGGTGATGTAGTGGTTAAGACATTTGGCTGTTAACCAAAAGGTCGGTGGTTTGAACCAACCAGCTGCTCCACGGAAGATGAGGCAGTCTGCTTCTCTACAGCCTTGGAAATCCAGTGGGGGTCCCTATGAGTCAGAATTGACTCCGTGGAAGTGAGTCTGGTTTTGAGTTTTATTCTGTGGTTAAAGTATTGGGCTGCTAACCAAAAGATCAGTGGTTCACACCTCCCAGCCGCTCTGCAGGAGAAAGATGAGGCAGTCTGCTTCCATAAAGATTTACAGAAAAACAAATCTGTCCTGGACGAAGTGCAGCCATAATACTCCTTAGGAGCAAGATTGGCCAGACTTTGTCTCACTTACCTTGGTCATGTTGTCACAAAAGCCATTCCCTAGAATGGTAAAGTGGAAAGTTGATGAAAAAGGGGAAGGCCCTCAATGAGATGGACTGACAGACACAATGGCTTCAACAATGGGCTCAGGTACAGCAGGGACTGTGAGGCTGGCACAGGACTGGGCAGTGTTTTGTTCTGTTGTACACAGGCTCGCTATGAGTCGCAGCCAACTCGACAGCACCTGACAACAGCAACATGAAGCAGGTCTACACTGTCCTACAGGGTCACTATGAGTCAGAACTGACTCAACAGCAGTGCTTTTGGTTTTGGTTTGGTATTCTGATAGGGGTGTACGTGATCTAGGGTGATTGTCAACGAATTAAATACAGTTTGGGAAAAGCTCCATGGTTTGGAAATCCTTTTTACTATGACTTTAAACCGAAAGGATGCTGTCACTGCACAGAGCCAAGTGAGGGTTCAGAATCACTAGTACCTTTATGCCCATGGGTGGGTTTAGGTTTCAGTGGAAGGGAATTTGATACTTCTCTTTATGTTTGAAAGCACTGTAATTATCTCAGTTGCCTGATGCCAGGGAAAGGTGGGAAATAAGGATTTCAGAAGCACATTTAAAGAGAGGTATAAGCAACTCCTCCTAACAAACAAAAAGGGTGTATATCCACCTGTTCTGAAAAAAAACGGAAGCCCTTGTCCTCACGAAAACACTCATATGTTTCTCCAAGAACCGGATTAAATGGCTTGCTCCCAGCTCGGAAATAGCTAGATGCATATGCTGATACCACAAAGGCTGCCACATACACCTAGGATAGAGAGGAAAGAACTTTGTTATTTCTCTGTCACCAAGAGATTTCACAAACAAAGAAGTAAAATAAAACTTCTATTGCTTTCCCAATGGTTTTATTTGGGTTCAAACAATGTTCATCTGGGCCCAGAAAAAATTAACCAAACATTTAAACACAGTCCATTTGTTCTGATGCCCAGAAGTTGGTAGAGGCTATCAAGATGACAATATTTATAAAATAAACTACATCCTTATTTGAACTGTGAAGCCTGGCATTATCTGAAAATCCTAGTATTTTTCTAAGGCTTTTGAGGGTTAAGTGAGAGAAGGGAGCATAAAAAAATTTTAGACGTTTTTCAAAATTTAGGACTAAGCATCACAAATTTAACTATAAAATATTAATATGATACTGTTGTTGTTATGTGCTGTCGAGTCGGACCCGACTCATAGCGACCCCTCCTTGGGTTGCCAAGGCAGTATTACTATGGAAGTAGATTGCCCAACCTTCCTTCCGAGGAGTGGTTGATGGGTTTGAACCGCCAGCCTTCTGGTTAGCAGTCAAGTGCCTTAGGCACTATGCTACCAGAGCTCCCATATGATACTGTAGAAACCTAAATACTTAGTATGATAAAAGAAAATCTCTGAAAGCCATTTCCTGAACCTGGGAAACAAGCCACATGACAGAACACCATGCCTTTTAAAACATTCTGGGTTTTTTTTTTTTGGAGGAAAACAGAAAAATCAAAAAGGAAAGGAAAACTATAGATGAACATGAAATGTGCAAAATCCTTTAATGGCTCTGACCATTTTTTATCAGCTCTTCTCTGAAACTCATCCCTTAGGGCACCAAAGACATGTAAGTTTTCTCTTCCCCTCCCTTCTCCTCCTCTTTCTTTCCATTCTTTTTCCTCCCCTTCTTTTTCCTTTCTTTATCTCTGCAAAAAATAGCAAAACCTAAGTAGTAACATTTCCTTTCTAAGACTGAGCAATGATCTCAGTTTCTTCTTTCCAGCATGTTCATGAAGTTTCTTACTCTGAAGCAAAGCTGAATGCCTTTCATAAATGTCCTAGTGGCCATCAAGTTAGCTCTGACTCATGGTGACCCCAAGCATGTCAAAGCAGAATGTGCTCCGTGGGGTTTTCAATGGCTGATTTTTCCAGGCCTTTTTCCCATGGCACCTCTGGGTGGGCCTGACCCTCTAACCTTTCAGTTAGTAGCTGAGTATGTTAACCGTTTGCACCACCAAGAGAGACTTCACCATAAATGTTCATGAATCATGTAACCTTTCCCAATATAGTGTTGCCTGTAAGCATCCAACTTCCTACCTCACACTTCAGACTGTTCTAGAGCAGCTAGACAGCTTGTAAACATCCATTCACTATGCTCAAGTCAGCCCCATCTGTGACTGGCTTTGTGTTTGAAACCTGGGTGTCTGCTCTCTCTTTGCTTCCTCATATGTTACCTGCTAAACAGTAAGGTCACACAGTCTATATGGCATGCTGAATCAACCCTGACTCATCTTCACAACTTAAAATAGAATAAAATTTATAAAAGAATCTGAGGGGATTCTTTTATAGTGCTGCGTTATATAAATTTGTAACTCTGGGGGTAGAAAGGAGGGAGGGGGAAGGCACCTTCCTTTTGGGTGGCAACATGAAAGAATCTATGCAGGGGCACAAGCTGACCACAGAACAGCGAACAAAATCCACAGGGTAAGACCCCTGCTCAATGCTCTCTTGGGCTTGTCCTTCGTAATGCTTTGTGCTGGAGTATGCGCCCTTTCTCTAAACTTCTCAAGGTCAATTATACTAATCACTATACTAATCACTGAGCTGATATCCTAAGGGTTTCTAAATTGCAAAGAACAAAAACACCTTAAAGAACACTTTCATCTTCAAAGTCACTTTTTTTTCTTTCAAGAAAAGGGCTACCCACAAACATGGACTTTTAACACTTTGCCTTAGAATCTATTTGCCTCCCTTTTCTGGGTAAAAATTCTCTGGGGAGGGGAAAGTAACAAAGAAAATAAAATACACAGCTTATTTTTCTCTCCTATCCTTATTATATGAGTCGGGGCCGACTCGACGGCAAATAACAACAACAACAACAAATCCTTATTATAGTTAGTATCAAGTAAAGAAGTCTCTCTGCCATGAGAGGGCCCCAGAGACTCTGTGGAATGACCATGGGATGTCCCTTTCAGCCAACAGGTTTTCCATAATCTTCAAATCATTAAAGTAATGAAGTTTTGAGGGTTCAAACTGCAGAGTGCTTAGAATTTAGAAAAGAACGGCATCCTCTATGAATGGGAGGTTGTCAGCTCACTTACAAGGGAGCGCTGGAGGCTGGTAAAGCCAGGGGGCACTAATTCTAATATAGCCCACCAGCAAATGTCCAGGACAGAGTCTGCACTTGGGGGAAACACCGAGGCCCCAGCATTTCACGTAGACAAAGACCCTAATGTTTACCAGGCTTGAGGAAGCAAAAGACGAAGAGACAGCCAATTTTCAAGAACAACATCAGTCATAGAGTCACAGAAAGGACGGATTTGACTACAGTCCTGCCATTGTGGTAGGGGAAGAATTACTGTATTTTTTGCAGGTAACGTACCCATGTAAATAACACACACACATATAATTAATGAGCACAGTGTGCAAAGGATACTAACACAGGAGAGGGTTGTCCGGTTTGCAGAAAGGGTATACACATGCACGTTATTTGTATAAAAATGGTAGAAACATTTGGAAAACAAAACAAAAAAAATAACCCAAACCAGTTGCCTGCAAGTCTACTTTAACTCATGGTGACCAATATGTGTCAAAGTAGAACTGTGCTCCCTGGACTTTTAAATGGCTGAGTCTTTAGAAGAAGATCGGCAGAACTTTCTTCCTAGGGGCTTCTGGGTGGATTCAAACTACCAACCTTTTGGTTAGTACCTGAGTTTTTACTTTTTGTACCATCCAAGAACACCAGAAATCCTTGGAAGCCTAAAGCTGTGACCGTGAGATGGATTTTTCTGGTATAAGCTTTTCTTTCTTTCTTTTTTTTTTGCTTGCTCTATAAAAATAAAAGGAAAAAAAGAAAAGAAGAATCTTTTTGATGCAAAAACCTCCTCTGTGAATGATATTTTCCAAAATTTTAGAAGCTGATGGGACACTTCCAAAAATAAAAACATTCTCAAGGGAAATTTACCCTGCTCAAGAAATTAAATTCTGTCCACCCAGGGTAGTAAAAATAAACACACAGACAGCCCTAAAGACATGTTTTCCAGCCAAGCATTCAGACAATCCCATGGTAGACTGCTGGAGAGAGAGGGTGCAAAAAACCATGAAGCTGAACTACCTCAGGCATCAGCTGTCAGATAAGCCCCCAAAAGGTAAACCCCGACAAGGTGTCTGGAAACAGCGAGGCAGAGGGGACCAGACATCACTGAGAAATAAACCCATCTCTAGAGCAATCTAAATGAGAACAAGAGGAAGGAGACCTGGTCTCTTGAGCTAGCCACCTTGTTCTTGGCTCGACAGGCTGATGACTAGTCTCTGGCTCAGTGGAGTGGGAGGCCAGTGCTGTGGGAAGGGGCTCCCTCACCATCCTTTCCAGGGGATTAGGAATCTGTGCGGCTGTATCCAGAAGCTCGCTGTACTCCAGCTCCTCACAGAGCCTCTGCAGCGTGTTTAGGGGCTCATTTAACTCCACCGGCATCGCCACTTTGGACAGATCCTTCCCAATGTTGTTTCTCAAGATGTTCCACAAGCTGATGTTACTGGTGTTGGGGCACGGTGCCGGCAAGCATGTTCTTCTTTTGGACTTCGCTTCTTTGCCACTGTCCAGAACTGGCCCTGAAAAGAAAATAGGCCTGCTTGTCTCTATAAAGCTTTTCATTTTATTATTTAAAGAAATAATCCATGAATCAAACCTTAACCTATCGGTACTCAATTTTACCATTACACTCAGTATCCAGAATGTGACTGAAAGCCAGATAACAAGCAAAAGAAATCTGAGCAGCTAAATTATGTCCCACAAATTATATGCACTAAAACTCACGAAACAGATTCATAGGGAGGCACTTGGGTTCCCATTCGAAAGCTAGTTCCTCATAGTTTATGTATAGTTATAATAAAACTGGAAATTGGATTTCTATGCTTATAGCAGATTATTGCTCTTTTTAAATAAATTTTTTTTTTGACTCTTGAAGAAAAACTTTAAATTCTGATAAAAACAGTCAAGTTTATTACAGGAAAATAATAAAGGAAATAAAAGTGATCCACTATTCCACCACCAAGAAATAGCAGCCATTTATTTTTTAGAGTATTTTCATTTAATGTTTTCTCTATCCATATAGCTCATACTGTACACATAATTTTATGTTCTGCCTATTCAGCTAACACAACATTTTTGCTATGTTATTTAAAATTCTTTGAAAACACTGCTTTGAATGACAATAAAATAGGGAAATGAGACCTCCAATTCTGTTTTTTTTCAATATTGTTTTAGATATTCAGGGCTCCTTACAATTCCATATGAATGTGAGGTCTGCTTTTCCTGTTTCTACAAACAGGCCCTTAGAATTCTGATAAGAATTGTATTGAATATGTAGATCATGTGGGAAATATAGCCACTTCAACAATATCAAGTCTTCTAATCCATAACACAAGGTATCTTTCCATTAATTTAGGTCTTCTTTAATTCCTTTCAGCAGTGTGCCCAGTGATTTTTTTTTTAATTGATTAATTAATTAATGCCAAATACCTAGCATTTATTCTAAAAAAACTAAGACTCAGTGCAGTTAAGTCGATTCAGACTCCTTGGGTTTCTAAGGCAGTATCTGTACAGAAGTAGATTGCCCAGTCTTTCTTCTAAGGAGTTGCTGGTGGGTTTGAATGGCCAGCCTCTGCTTAGCAGTCAAGTGCCTTAGGCACTAGGCCACCAGAGCTCCCAGCATTTACTATGGGCTCAGAAAAATTCTAATGTAATAATTTATCAAAATCTTGATCCAATAGTATTTCCTTCTGTAGACAAAACTGTGCCAACAGTCAAGATACAAGGATTATCTCCGTTTTCAGTAGAATAATGATGTTTAGAAATCTGATTCTTCTCAGAAAACGTCTATGAAGAACTGGATACCCGTTTCTAGTATTCAAATACTGATAAACAAGAAACACTGGTTTTGCTCAGTTTGCTGCAGCTAAGGCAACACACAGCATTCTAACAAGATGGCTGTAGGATAATCACTGCTATTAGCTGACACTGAGAGGGCTCCAACTCATGGTGACCCATGACAACAGAATGAAATGTTGCCTGGTTCTGTGCCACCTTCACGATCATTGTTATACTTGAGTCCGCTGTTGTGGCCACTGTATATTTTGAGTGTCTCCAAGCAGTGAGGCTTATTGTCTAGCGCTAGATCAGACAATAGCTTGTTGTGATCCAAAGGTTTTTCATTAGCTAATTTTTAGAAGTAGATTGCCAGCCCTTTCTTCTTAGTCCATCTTAGTCTGGAAGTTCCTCTGAAACTTAGTGACCATGGGTAACCCTGCTTGTAAGAAATACCAGTTGCACAGCTTCCAGCATCGTAACACACAGACCACCACATATGACAAACTGACAGATGGGTGGTGGGTGGGATATGACAGAACATCCTCAACCTCGTAAATGCCTTTCCTGGCCAGTTTCAACTAACCACAGCCATTGTCCAAGGTGCTGGGGCAAGTCTTCTGTTCCCAACTTTGATCTCTGAACTCTCCATTAACCAGTGTGTTCTCTCTGACCACCTCCCAAGGGCGTAAAAGAGAAGGAGGACTTTTGTCAAGTTTGTCCGTCTTCCTCACCTACATTGGGAGTGCCATTTTAGCGTGTGTGCTGTTTGCCGAGAGAGTACGTGACGCTTCTTCATTTCTGAGTTTGCCTCCTTGCTTTTCTAGAAAAACAAGTAGCACATAAACTTGCTACTCTGTCATTAGCCTTTTCCTTTCAACCCACTAGTTTTTAGACTTTTCTGTGGGGGATTCATCTCTGCAGAAACAATTCAAGTGAAATTCAGAGCATGGTGAGGCATTTCACTTCTATCAGCTGTGGTGCTGAAAGGATGTTCTCCAAGAAGATGGCAAAATGGCTTTTATTCTATATTGTGGTCCCAAAGAGGGTATTTCACACATAGCTATTGAGCTGAGAAACAGTGAAATATCAAAAACTTATTCAACATGGTCCCTGGCTTCCATGTAGATAGAAAAATCAGCAATGTTGTGGGTGTCCAATGCACAGTACAGGCAAACTTAGGGACTGCAAGATACACCAAGAATCAAGTCTAGGAGCATTTGATGCTACAGGCTCCCTAACATAGACCGTCCAATTGGGCAGATTCTTCTTAAGAGCTACCTCAATAGGTTTATATCAGAGTTGTTTAGAGATAGCCAGGCTTGATACTCCATAGTTCTAGCTGTTGCTGTTAGCTGCCATCGAGTCAACTCCAATTCTAGGTGACCCCATGTATGCAGAGGAGAACTGCTCCACTGGGTTTTCAAGGTTGTGACCTTTCGGAAGAAAATCACCAGATCTGTCTTCTAAGATGTCCATGGATACATTTTAACCACTAACCTTTCAGCTAGTATTGGAGTGCTTAACAGTTTGTAGTACCCAGGGACTCCTATAGCTCAAACTAGCATTATGAAATACCTTTCCTGGTCACCATTTTCCCTCTTGGGTTCAACCAGTAATAAAGGGGCATATTTTAGCTTTGTTGCTTTCCAATGTGCTACCCTGAAGAACCTGAAGCTTAAATGCCACTAAGAGCAGGCCTTTTTAAGCCCTATAGAATTCCTAAATTGTAAAAAGTCTTAGATACCAAAGGCACAAAGTTATATTCTAATATAACTTTACTAAGAGATGTTTGGCTGTATAAGGGACACCTATTGCATTAAATTTTGGTATTTACATAAGCAGACTACTCTCATTTTATGAAATAAAAATTTGCACAACAGACAAATTTATGAATGAACACATCTTTTATATGTTACTAATATGTCCCTAACTAGATTATAAAATCCTCAAGGGTGGGGACTGTTGTTACATGCCGTCGAGTTGGACCTGACCCATAGTGACCCCTCCTTGGGCTTCCGAGGCAGTATTACTACAGAAATAGATTGCCCAACCTTCCTTCCGAAGAGTGGCTAGTGGGTTTGAACCACCAGCCTTCTGGTTAGCAGTCAAATGCCTTAGGCACTACGCTACCAGAGCTCCTAGGTTGAGGACTACTAGCTCTTAATTTTGTTATGTAGTACTTGTTACTGATTCTGCTATCAGGCACTCAATATATGCTTATTGGCATCTAGGAAGATGCAAATTTTCAAAGAGAAAGTAATTGAAATCTTACCCAAAGTCTGCCTCTCATTGTCCAAATCATTACTGAGGTTGTCTAAGGAAAGGTTATCACTTATGTCACTGACATATGAATCATCATCAGAAATCTAGGGGAAAGAAGAAATAATAGATATCAGAGTAAGCATAATCAAGAGCTGGATGCTCATAAAAGAGTTTCTCCAACTGATCAAATACTATTTGAATCCCACATTACAAGTCCATAGAAATAGTTCTGGATGCCATTTCCATAGAGGCCCATACCTCAATCTGCCTTGGTGGTATTCACAGCAAACATCTGTCATTAAAAAACTTACACATTCTCAGTTACTTCTCACAAGATGTTGTTGTTGTTGTTATGTGCCATCGAGTCAGACCCGACTCACAGTGACCCCTCCCCTTGGGTTTCCGAGGCAGTATCACTACAGAAGTAGACTGCCCAACCTTCCTTCCAAGGAGTGGCTGATGGGTTTGAACTGCCAGCCTTCTGGTTAGCAGTCAAGTGCCTTAGGCACTACGCTACCAGAGCTTCTCACAAGAAAGACACCAAATAAACTCAAGACTTTAGCTATTATAAACATTTTTATTAATTCCAACTACATTTTCAGAATGTTCAAATTTGGCTAGACTGAGTTTCAATTTGTCTTTGTTCTACTTGTGAAAAAAAGAACATGCATGGAAATTAATACATAAAGAAGACTGTTGTTGTTAGGAGTCGCTCTTGACTCATAGTGACTCCATGTGACCAAGCAGAACTGCCCCATCAGGTTTCCTTGACTGTAATCTTTACAGAAACAGATTGTCCAGTCTTTCTCCCACAGAGTGCATGGGTCAGTTTGAACTGGCAACCTTTTGGTTAGCAGCTGAGTGCTGAACTATATACTTAAGAGGTAACAGTAAGAGGAAATACTTAAATACAGGAATGTTAACTATGATCCTTGCCTATGCAGGAAAGTATGGTTTTCATGTATCTATTTAAAACAACATCACTTTACGTGTAACTATGTATATGTAGTTAACTTAATATAGGTCAAATTCTATGACTTATTTTAAAAAAAATACAGAGGATATTAATTTCTTTCCCTTTGGTGGAAATATTATGTTATCAAATAGCTAAAAGTCCAACCTATGAAGTTGCAGTTGAAAAGAGGTATAATAAATGAAGTCACAGAAAAGAGGAAGTACTCAAAACACCCCTCATTTGCACAACTTTCTTCTTCTATGATTTTGTATCATCTCTTACTTTTGGGGTATGAGGTATGAGAAAGATCCTCAGAATGCAAATGGTGGAGAAGGGCTATTGAGCTTAGTGTTTTTAACTACAGATATTTACTGAACTGGTTAATCAACAAAGCAACAAGAAATTCTGAAGCACCTAACTGGAAAACAGTGTTCAAACCTCATTTTCCGAAGAGCTTGGTGATAACAGAACTTCCTGTGCATCAAAAAACTCTGAAAGGGAGTCGGTGATGGAGAGTCTACTTTCATTGGAAAGCTGATGTACCAGAGCTCGGTTTTCATCTCTGGAGTTTTCCTATTTGAAAAAACAACATCAAAAACACATATATTTAGAAACGTTCTCAAGAGAAGCAAAATAAACACATGATTTAGTGGCATGATACACAAGGTCACAGGCCCGTGCAAACAAGCAATTCCAAGCAGGGGTCAGCTCCGGAGCTGAGGAGAAGTAAGCCCCACACAAAATACAATGAAAAGTTGATGTCTTCCCCCAGATGGGCCCTCACTTCCAGGCCAATCACAGCATAGGTACATGTAACACATTTCAAAGCCAAAAACAACTGCCCCCTCAGTCTTTGTTCTCTTAAGGGGGAAAAATTTCAAACATTCTGTGAATCACATCCTTGTTCCCTACCACTGCAGGATATCTCTTTTCATCCTAAAATTTCCTCTGAATGGTGCTGAATGCACATCATTGCATGGCTGGTTCAGAGAACATGGATTCCTTCTGCTCCTGTGCTTTCACAGAGGCCAGGAGGCTGCTTTTGAGCTGTCTAGTGACACAACAGTGAGTTTTTGGTCCAGACGTGCCCCTGGTGGTAGATCACTCATTATTCATGGGTGGATGAGACAAATTCTCTTGGTCTGTCTTTCTCCACCACAATGACTCTGCAAGGGAAGGACGCCTCTGGCCCCCTTTCTAAGCCTCTATACAAACAAGACAACGAAGTGTCACTATTTTCTAATCATGTATGGCCCCCATTCCCACCCCACTGACTAGAGGTAGCTGTACTCCAATGTCTATACTTTCCCTCTGGGAAGGATAGGAGTGTCCCACCTATTTTAATTGCAGCTGAAAATTCAATTCAACTCAACAAATTCAGTAACTGCTTAATGGATAATCTTGTGCTGGCTACACAAGATTTGTGATTAATAAGACTTCTGACCGGAATGACTGAGTGCAGAGAACACACCCCAACACGTGTCATACTACGGTTGTGGGACAGACAAAGTGCTCCAGAAGGGAAAAGAAGCTGACATTGATGTTGATCAGGCAGCTCTGCTTTGGGGAGGGCTTTACAGAGGAGGTGGCATCTGACCTAGACTTTGAGGAATAAGAACAGATTCAACACAAGATGATTCAATTCCTTCAAATTAGAGAAGATAGTTCCTTGAGTTCCCCGACAGCACTCATTTTTCCTTAGGCTGATAAAGGAGCTGTGTCTGTATCATTATGTATCTGATAACTGAGTCTCACAATAACTTGGGGAACAAAAGCTAAGGCAGATTATATATTGCCCAGAAGTTTCATGAGTTCAGGGCATACTCCTATGTCTCATAAACATAAATTATACCCAAGAAAGAGAGGCTATGACAAGGGACCCACAGCAGATTTTCAGCATTAATAAAGGGCAAGTAGTCCCTTTTGTCAGAAACATTTAAAAATGTGCATCCCTGTCTCTGTTTCAATCATGATCCTACCCATTTCAATAGCCACACAGCCTCTGAAAAGTAGGCTTCTTTCCTAGACTAACAAAGAGATCACTTTAGAGTCCATAAATATCACAGCTGTCCCCTTCAAAGGAAAGGTCTCTCTTATCAAAGACCCTGCCACAATGCTAAAGGTCTGAAGATGCTGCAGTGAATAACTTGAGCTCCTTTAATGCTCACTTAAACAAAGAAATTGTCCCATGCTTTGGTGTGCCACTGCTACATAAAGCCCTAATGATTTATTTATTTGTTCTACTCATTAATTTATAATCAGTCACTCCTGCTCTCTCTGTATCTCCCTCCTCCTAGACTGATAGGTCAGAAGGATTTCCTGTCTGGTCAACATTGAAAATAATAAGCCTAGCCTCTAGTCCTTTCTGGTTTCACTAATCTAGCAACTTCAAAGGATTACATACTGAAAATCCAAACAAGGCAATGCCACCAAGGCCTAGCACACTGTCTTGCACAACCCACGACTTCATTTATTAAAATACTGATCTAGCCAGTTCAATTCAATTTTCCCCTCAAGCTTGTAAGGCCTCAGTGGTGGTTTGTCTTTTTTTTTTTTTTTTTTTTTAAACATTATAAAAAGTTAAATGAGAAAAGAGGGAGGGGAAAACCATAATCTTATCACACAATACAAGCACTATTAGCATTTTGACACTTTTCTTTCTAATCCTTTTTCTACATGTTCGTTTTGAAAACACTTTAATCACTTTATACATATATATATGTATATATATATATATATTAACTACTATCTGTCTTGAAGATAAAAAGGTGTTCAAAATAAAAAACAAAGAGAAGTGTATGTAACACTGAAAGGCTCCTCACTGAAAAGTGGCCCCCATTAGCCTGTTTGTGGACTTTTATCTATGAAACTATTTGTGTATAGATACATTTTTTAATTTTGAAAAACTGGGATCAAACTATATATATAGATAGTTACACAGTCTGTTATATTCACTTAACATTATATTGTGAACATTTTTCCAGGTTATTTAAACTTCTTTGAGAACGAACTCTAATTGATAGTTAATATTTCATTTTATGTACATATATCAAAGTGCTACCATTCACCTTTATTGGAAATTAACAGTGTTTCCAAACTTGTAATGATGGCAAACATTTTTGTAAATGTTTGTGCCTATATCTTGTTAATTCCTAGAATAATTTCTTAGAAGTGGAATTATTAACATTTTAAAAGTTGTGTGTGTGTGTGTGTGTGTGTGTATGTCTGTGTAGGTTTGCACGTATGGCCTGATCAAACTGACATGTAAGAGAGCTCTGTTTACTCTACATCCAAATGGCACTGAATACTATTCTTTAGAAAACTTTTGTGCTAATCTAATTGCTTTAATATGCATTTTTTGTTAAGGATTAGATTGACTCCCTCTCCCTTTTTTTTTTTTTTTAGTAAGATTAGCTATAAAGATGTTAACATTAGAGGATGATGGGGAAAGGTGCATGGGACCTCTCTCTGCCTTTCTTTACACCTTCTTATGAAAAATAATCACTTCAAATAAAAAGTTAAGAAACTAGCTGTATTTCTCTATTTTTTAAGAACTATAACTTTTTTCCATTTATTTTTTGAGGTCTTAAATTACTTGCTGTTATTCATTGTTTATTTACATATTAAAGATATTTTCACCTTATCTGTCATTCCACTGAAAAATATTTCCTAGTCCACTATTTATTTTTTAATTTGTATTGTGATTTGGGTGAAATTTTACAGAGCAAATTCTTTTTCTAAACAGCAGTTCATATACATTTTGTTTCATGACATTGACTGCAATTGCCCACAATGTAACAGCTCTCTTCTTACTTCCTCCCTGTAGTTACCTCTTCCCTGTGTCCTTCCCTCCTATGCACTCCTCCCCACCCCACCCCCAAGCTATCTTCCTGTGCAAACACTGCCCTTCTGTTTTCCCACTAAATGTTCATACCATATGCCAGTCTATTGTTTGTCTGAAAGCCATAGGAGTAAGTCCAGTTCCAAACCTGAGGGTAATTAGGGGCCATAGTCTCAGGTGTCTCACCAGGCCCTATCAGACCAGCAACCTCGTCTTTTTTTTTTTATGGTTTTGTGCCACATTCTTTCCCAACTCTATCCAGGATCTCCCGCACGGATCCTCCTCTGAGTGGTTGACAGCAGTAGCCTGGCACCATCTAGGTCTTCTGGTCTCATGGTCATATAGGCTGAAGATCGCAAGGTCTACTAGTTCCTTGGACTAACTGTTTCCATGCATCTTTAGTTTTCTTCATTCTCCTCCATTATTTGTTTCCTTACTTTTTTTTGATACACACCATTTTATTTTCTTAAAAATGGAGTCAAATGTTGTATTAAAAAAACCCAACGTTTGATCATTTGCCCAAAGACAAAGTTCAGAAGGCAGGAAGGGTTAGAAAAGAAGAACATAAACGAGAAACAAGGGAGGGAGCGAGATGAATGTTATGTTGAGAAGATTGCAATCAATGACATGTACCAAACGTGAATGAATCGGTGAATGGAAAACTGATTAGCTCTGTAAACTTTTATACAAATCAAAATAAAAAGTTAAAAAAAATCAACTTTTTTTTGGAATTTTTTCTATTGCTTCTAAATTTAGTAAATCTTCCATTCTAGTAGTTTAATAAATATTTAAATCACTATGTTTCAGTTTAAAATACTGATTTCAGTGTGCAATGGGCATATTTAAACTTCTGTGACTACCTTATATATTGAATATCTTACTTTTTTCCCCCACTGGTTTTTGATGCCTTTTCTACCACATATTTATTCTCCCTATAGCATGGTGTTTATTCCTGAGCTAGTTATTCTGCCCCATTCTTACACCATCATCATCTTATTTTAACTATGGTACTTTTATTATGTGTTTTACTTCCTGATTTCGCATGCCCTTCCTCACTATGTGGCAGTGTGATGCTATCGAGAGAACTTGTGCTCTGGACTCACCGGATAAAGATTTAAATCCCAGCTCAGTCACCTACTAGCTCTGTGCCTTGAGAAAAATTAGTTAACCTCTCTGGGCTTTAGTTTTCTGTCTCTAAAATAAAACTACCATCACTTACCTCACAGAGGTGTGATTAGGGTTTTGTGAGATAATACATTCAAACACACCTGGAATATAGCAAACAGGTAGGCAATTAAGGCCAGTTCCCTTCCTCCAGACTTTTCTCTTTCTTGCCTATTTAGATTATTATATGGACGTTAGAATTAGTAGACTGTTACCTACAAAATCACTTGGTCTTTTGCCTGCAATTTAAAATAATATAATCTAATAACTGACAACATGGTAACATTGAATCTTCACATCCAGGAATATGAAATAGGAGAACCCAATAGGAGCTGGGGATAATTTCTTTCTTTTTAAAAAAATTTTTTTTTATTGTGATTTGGGTGAAAGTTTACAGAGCAAGTTCATCTTCCATACAGCAGTTCATATACATTTTGTCATGATATTAACTTCAATTCCCCACACTGTAACAGCGCTCTTCCTACTTCCTCCCTGTAGTTACCTCTTCCTTATGTCCTTCTCTCCCATGCACTCTGCACCCCCAACAAGTATCTCCCTGTGTAAACACTGCCCTACTGTTCTCCCATGATTGATCACTGCAAGGAGTGTATCTACCTGATGTAAATGTTCACCCCATATGCCTGCCTGTAGTTTGGCTGGAAGCCATACGAGTGAGTTCAGTTCCAGACTTGAAGGCTAACGGGGGGGGGGCAATAGTCTCAGGCATCTCCCCAGGCTCTATCAGAACAGCAAATCTGGTCTTTTTTTTATTTATTTATTTATATATGATTTTGAGTTTCAGGATGTGGGGATGATTTGTGATAGGAGAGAGAATTTTAGAATTTCAGTGTCCACATCCAACAGCAAAGATGGGTAATTTGTGTAGAAGAAAGTAAGAGTCATAAAGAGTACCTGAGGCTGACCCCACTGTCATGGCTGCTGTTCCCCAACAGTGTTCAAGGAGCCTGTGCATTATCTGAAAACTAAACTGGGGAGAAATTTCCAGCCTCTGGGACATCAATTTACACTTACTCTCTGAGTTATTTCCTGCAAGAAACAATAGGTTTTCCTTTGCTGGGAAAGTTAGCCTGAGTCACTCAGTGAAAAATCCACTGCCATAGAGTTGATTCCAATTCATAGTGACCCTGGCAGAGTAGAACTGCCCAATAGGATTTTAAAGGCTGTAAATCTTTATAGAAGCAGACTGCCCCATCTTTCTCCCATGGAGTGGCTGGGAGTTTAAAACAGGCAACCTTTTGGTTAGCAGCCAAATGCTTTAACCACTGCACCACCAAAGCTCAGTGAAAAGCAGGATAAAATATAGAAAACACAAAGTCACTAAATGAGGAGATAAGTGAGAAACCCACATCACAGATTCAAGACTTAAGAAAACTGCTTTTGAAGGTGTGTGTTTGAGGGATATTATCACCATCGCCCTGCCAGGACATTTAAGCCTTCAAGTGCATTACTTCTGAAATCAGTTTAAAAATGTGCATCTTAAAAGATGACAACAACGATGACTACTGTTGTGATTTTGCTTTCCCTTGCAAGTCACAAATAGCCACAGTATACACACTGAGCATAAATTCATAAAGATATAAATGTTCAACTTGCCATTGCTCTATTTAACTCTATAATTTACTTACTATTATTTTATTTGAAAAGTAAGTACAGTCTGGAAAAAACACATGAAACTTTGTAGAAAATGGAGGTGTCTGGCATCAAGCAACCCTCATGGTGACTGGACTCTGCTTGATTTAGCAAATGTGGAGATTCAAGAGGGGGCTAGCTTGGTGAGCACATATCTTTGCCCAGGCCTAAAACCAAGGTCATCATAAGTAGTAAGTAATGTTTAGGTACTTAGCCCTGCAAGTGTTTTTGTTTATATCTGGGTCAAATGATTAAAAAGTGCTATCTTGGGAAAGTGAGTCCATAGAGAAATTGTATCAGCAACCACTGTTAGGTGCCTCAGAAGCAGCAGAGCCATGCTGGCCACCATGGAGAGAGGGCAGCTCTCTCATCAGAAGAGGAGGAGGGTCCTGTGAGTACGCGGTAGAGCCTGGGCTGTAAATGGAGGCAGCTGCCCCCCCCCTTCATCTGTGTACTGACTGACTTCAGCCTCTAATCTCCTCATTGCCTGCCATAATGGCTTCTCAAGAGTGAAGATGTTATATTAGGGTTTTGCTCTCTACAAGGAAAAGGAGGAGGAGGGATTAAGATTAAATACTACCCACCAGTGAAGTTGATTCAACTGACACTCATGATAACTCCACATGGGTCAGAATACAACTGTGCTCCACAGAGGATTTTTTTTAAATTATTTTATGTTATGTTGTTGAGAATAACACAGCAGAACATAAAACAATTCAACAATTTCTACATATACAATTCTGTGACATTGATTATATTCTTCAACTTGTGCAACCATTCTCCCCCCTCCATTTCTCAGTTGTTCTACCCACATTAATAGAAACTCACTGCCCCCTAAGGTTCCTATCTAATCATTTGAATTGCTGTCGTCAATTTGATCCCGTATGAATAGATCTTAACAGAGCAGACTGCTCAAGGCAGAGTTATTTTACTAGTTAAGCTAAACTACTGTTTGCTCATAGAGTTTCAGTGGCTGATTTTTCGGAAGCAGATCACCACACTGTTCTTCCAAGGTGCCTCTGGGTGGACTCACATCTCTAACTTTTCAGTGAGTGGTTGAATGTGGTAACCATTGGTACCTCCCAGAAACCCCCAAATTAAATATTAGAAACCCCTTTTAAAAAATTATGAACACACACACACACCCCCTTTGTACAGTACCATCCTTTTTCAAAAATTTATTTTGAATGAAATCTAATCTGTGAATGAAAAATTTAGCACATCTGAGTCATATAAACATACAAGATGGCTAAAAAACCATTTTAACCTTTTGTACTTATTTTTAGAGTAATACACTTGTATTTTTTCTCCAGTTTCTCATTTTGAACATGTTTGAAAAATACTGTGGGTAAATTTCCCAAATCTATTAACTGACCATGGCATTTCAATGTAAGATATTATTTTTTCCCTCAGAGTATAGAGCCATGCTCTTTTGTCTCTGGTCAGTAAAAGAAAAAGGAAAAATCATAGGAAGGGGAGAGAATAGCCACAAAGAAAGAGAAGAGGTTCTTTTAGAAGGAACAAGGACGAGGGCAAAGAATTGGGATACCACAGGTACGAGAAATGTAGGTGTCTTTAGAAATAAAGGGAGAAAATGCTGTTTTTCTACCATTTCCATTCCAGTAATACTAGCTCTGGTAGCATAGTGGCTAAGACACTTGCCTGCTAACCAGACGGCTGGTGGTTCAAACCCACCAGCCACTCCTCGGAAGGTAGGTTGGGCAATCCTACTTCCGTAGTGATACTGCCTTGGAAACCCAAGAAGGGGTCGCTATGAGTCGGGTTTGACTCGACGGCACATAACAACAACAATACTAGCAAAAGGTGGTGACACTTAGGAGGAAAACAGGGTAAAGAAATACAAAAGCAAGAAAAGTTCAGGCAGGAAAAAAGCAGTCTAAAAACACATGTAGCAGCATATTCTCCAGAAAGCCCCTGAACCCTGCGACCCGTAATCCCTGCTGCAGCGGTCACAAGCACCTAAGAGGATGCAGGTGGGGATGTGAGCACCACTCACGATGGTGAAGCAGGGAGGCCGTGCAACTGGATAGAGGGCGCCATGGGAGGGGCGGTGCTCAGAGACATCACCAGACAAGGAACCTTACCCACCTCTGCCAGACTGTCACCCAACTTGGCAACAGCAGGGGGGTCGAGGAGCAGAGACTCGGCATGGATTCTGCGTAAGCGCTCTTTAAGATCTGTGTTTTGTGCTATGGCCTGGAACATGTTAAAAATAGTGGGGCCATGTTAATAAAGAGAGGTTTCAGAAGAGCACAGCACTGAGCCTGGCAGGAGAGGTGTCTGTCTGGGAACCTGATAAACCTCTCTGAGCTGCAGCCCTGAGGGGCCCTTCCTGGGCTTTCACCTTGAAAGCTGTCCAAACGGATACCTGTTCTGAGATGCTGGGAGAGAAGAAATATCAAACTCTGGAAATGATGCCTCTTCTCTACTCTCATTTCCAGGGGTGGAAGGAGGGATTAGTGAGGCCCGTGGAGAGGGAAATCACAGACTCCTTCAGCTCTTACTATGACTAGTGTTTTCTCAGCATCTCCTCCTTCCCAACTGTTTTTATCTCTTTTGCCAACTTACTTCCTAATGATCCCAAGCTTCTCTTGTCCTTGAGAAAAGATTCTGTTCCCATTCCCTTATGCTTGAACATATTTTAATGGTACTTAATTATCACACTAGTTCAACTGGACCTTAGAAAGTATACTGGTAAGCAGGAATTTGTAGAGAACTGATTTTACTGTCTTACAATATAGGTTTTATTGATTGTTTTAGTCACTCTTTAGGACTATGATATTTTCTTTAAGGAGAAATAAATAAGTAAAACAAGCCAAAAAAACTTCTTACTTACCTGGCTAGGGGTAAGGACCGTGCCCAGGGGATCATGGGTGTGAGATATGAGCATACATGAGACCACCCAGGACTTCTTTGATTCTTCCCTGCACAGGTCCCATTCCCCACCCCAATTTCCTAACCAGGAGGGAACTGGCTCAGAGGTAAAGGGAGATGTTTCCGTCATGCTGTCATTCCTGTATACTTGGTGACCCACTGTTCTCCAAACAAGCTGTCTTAAGAAGGGGACAAATTCATATGACTGTTTCCCAGACCTTTGCACAGCCAGCTTCATGAGTGCATCAGTCTGTCTGTCTTCCTGACTCCCTTTCAAGAAGCTGAGTCTTGCACATCCACCAGGGCCCATTGAGTGTACCTGCTGAGAGCATAAAGGGATATGGCACTGCCTAATCCACTAGCTAGATCTCAAACAAGGTTTCTGACTTTATTTTTGTGCCCAAAGATGGTATGAGTCATTTGAAAATCCTCAGGGATCTTTTAATAAACATTAAAAGGAACAAAGATCACACAACCACATGTAACACTCTCCGTGGGGGCATTTACTTTCTTCTGGCAATGGTATGAGGCTAGAATCACATGTATGGTGGACAGAATCTTAGTATGGCTTCTCTCTCTCTATTTCTCTCTCTCTCTCTTTTTGTAAGCCACAGACATAATAAAGAAATGAACCAAAGACTGCACACATGGCATAAAATCATCCATTCTGACGGCCCTGAGGTGACTCTAAAAAGTTCATTTTTAAAAAAACAAGTCTTGAATTTAATCAGGTATGAAAGGCTCATTCTATTTTATCTTAAGTTACCAAAATCGTGAACATGGGTGAGGAATGAATTCATTGGGGGAAGTAAGAACAACTTTGGCCTAGGATATCATGGACAATTGGTCTCAATGGCTTCTATCATGTGAACAGATTAGCAAGATGAGGCCAGACTTCCATGGGAGGAGGTCAGAGGAGAGGACAACCATAGGGAAAGGGACTTTTGGGGGCCATCAGAGATGCCATCTAAATATACTAAAAGGCAACATAATGGGAACAATAATAACAACTAAAAATAAATAAATTAATTAACAACAACAGAAGAACCCTCTTACTTCCCTCAAACATAAGCAGTAGTCAGTGACCCAGTGTGTAGCAGGCAGGCCGTCCCCTTTGATCCAAGAGGGGGCTGTTTCTATCTCTGAACTTGAAAAACCTGTAATATAGGTTCTGAGGGCAGACAACATTAAGACTCTACACATGGAGTAAGCCAACATGAGTTTTGTTTCTCAGAGACAGCATACTTAGATGTTTAACTGAGTGAATATTCCTTCCTTAAGAATCTTGTAATAGCAGTATGTGCTACTGGTAAAGACTTTATCACTCACATTATACCAAGAGCATCACTTTTCTTGAACATGCTTTATGATGAATAGAAAAATATGAACAGATGACTGTTTTCTGGTACTTCCAATCATGAATTGGCTGCTGACAACTATATAAAAAAAACCAAACCTACTGCTGTCGAGTCAATTCCAACTCACAGCTACCCTGAAGGCCAGAGAAGAACTGCCCCATAGAGTTTCCAGACTGTAAATCTTGTATGGAAGCAAACTGCCACATCTTTCTCTCAAAGGATAGTTGGTGGGTTCAAACTGCCGACCTTTTTGTTAGCAGCTAAGTACGTTTACTACTGTGCCACCAGGGCTCCTTCTCCTAACAAGATCCTGAAATTCACTTCCCTACTTGCCCTGAAATAGAAAATTCAGTCTTGCTTCAGATGGTAATTTCACCTGTGCACATGCATGCTCTCTTTTTAAAGTAGGAACTGCAAAGTACAAGTCAAGAGCAAGAGAAAGTAAGTGTGTTATCTCAAAAGTCGTACACTATCTTGATAGATAAAAGGTGAACAACCACAACTTCAGCAACTCAAAGTTAGGTCCTAGGACATGGTATACCAGTGGGGCCCAACAAGTTTGAGGAATGAACTGAAATGACTTAAAAGAGAGTGAATGACTAAAGGAATAGCTTGCTAAGGAGTATTTGAGGCTTGATAGCAATTTTTCAATTGTTATGAAGCTTCAAAGATTACATGACAGACACATCATATGACTTATCTCTTTCTGACATGGGTGGACTAAATGTTTTGTACTGTATAATTAAATAAAGTAACTTTCATGTCTTTGAAAGAGAGGCAAATAGGATCAATGCTTTGCAGTAGAGAAGATTAAGAGTGTGAATTTGAAATTGTGCTGTGCCATGTGTCATTTGAATACTTGTCTAAGCTAGGAGCGCTCAGGTCCACAAATCTTCAGACTGTCACATTTTCTAAGTACCGACAAACAAATGTCTGTAAAACACACACAATCATCATACAATAAAAGTTCTATGGAAATAGAAAAATCAACCTAATGAATAGGAGGAAACCAAACTGAAAGTATCTAACACAGTAAAATACTAGATTTGGTTTAGGCTGAATTTTGGGGTTTGGAAAAAGCACATCTGATGAAAGGTTAGAATATAATTTGGATAATTTGTTTGGTTTTCTCCATCGTGAATTTTCAACGCAACCATGGAGATGGAACATAGGAAGAATTCACGAGCCTGGGCACATTTGCAGGCACTTCTGTGACACAGACACGCAACTTACGGATGACAGGGCATGCTTCAGACCAATGACCTGGGCAGAGGGGGAGGAGGTGACATCCTGTTCCATCAGCTGCTTCAGTTTCTCTCTCTCCGTTGATATAGTATTAAAAGCTGACCTTAAAGTGAAGTAAACTATAAAGATATAATCATTATAAAAAGGAATAAAGGAAGAGGTATAATTTAAAAACATTATACAAAAAAATGCATTTTTTCTTAAAGAATTTAAAATAGTAACAGCCCTGAGTATTTGTAAATTATAGCAAATATATACTGTAAACTGACTTAAATTTTTTTATTGCTGCAAATATATATATAACACAATACTTGCCAATTCAATGTTTCCCACATGTACAATGTAGTGCTGTCAATACATTTAATCATGTTGTACAACTATTACTAATAATTGTTGCCAAGTTTTCCATTGCCATAAACAAAAACTCAATGTTTCCTAAATGACTCCTTTTTGTCCCCTTCCCTCTTGCCTTTGGGAACCATTACACTTTGGTCTCTATGTATGTGCCTTCTCTAGATATATAAATGACATCATACAATATTTGTCCTTTTGACTAACTTCACTCAGTATAATGTTTTCAAAGTTCATCTGTGTTGTATCTGGTTATCAGGACTTCATTTCTCTTTACAGCTGAGTAATATTCCATTGTAGGAATGTCTAAACAGACTTTTAAAAAACCCATTTATCAATTTTAAGGTTTCTTTCCACTATGCAATTCCATTACTTTATGAGTTATCATCAAGATATTTTGTCACTTGAAAGGACTATACTTCTATCAATTATCAGCATGTTTTGCTTGTATCTCAAAGACTGGAAATGTTTCAAAATAAAGCTTACAGGTTGCCAGGGGAAAATGGTAACACTGCATCTTAACCAGGTGATCAAAATCAATCACCTCTGAGAGCCAGATGGACTGTGTGTGCCTCTGGTTGCGATATCCTGAGAAAGACACATCTCCTTTGTTGTATGCCGGCTGGGGATATACAACCTTAATCTGATCAAGAAGATCAGACAACTCCAAGATGAAGAATTCTTTTTTTAAAAAAAGGAATTCCACTTTTAAAAACTGGCCTGTATTCTTCAAAAATTTCAGCTGTATAAACGAGAAAGAAAGGCAGATAAACTGTTTCCAAGCAAAGGAGCCTAAAGAGGCAAGGTAAATCAATGCAACATTTGAGCATGGATGACACTGAACAAACCCCTTTACTACAGTGGGAAAATGCTAGTCAAGGCCACTATTGAGATAATTGAAAATAACTGAATATGGAAGGCAAAATGGATAAAAATATTGCTCCCATGCTAAATTTCCTTAATTTGATAACTACACTGGGTTATATAAGAGAATATTCTGATTCTTATAAAATATACAGCAAAGTATAAAGGCACAGAGAAAGACATGATGTATGAATCTTACTCTCAAATGGTTCAGAAAATAAATGTGTGTGTGTGTGTGTGTGTGTGTAGAAATAGAGAAAACAGAAGTGGCAAAACATTAAAAATGGTGACTTTGGCTATAAGGTATATGAATGTTCTTTGTATCATATTTGCAACTTTTCTGAAAGTTTGAAAGTCTTTCAAATAAGGTGTTACCTACCCTCTGGTTAGTCCTTCTAGCTGCCACCTCTAAACTTGGCATTGAACTTTGTTCACTTTAGTGAGTACTTAAGCACAATGACAGCATAGCACTATTAGATACTGAAATGCTTGAACTCAAGTTTTAAAACTCATTAACACTCATCAAAAGGTTCATCAGGTTTTGATCTGTAATGTACAAGTTACCTCTTAAGGATGAGGAAACTGTCATCTAACTTACTGATCATAGATATTACATTTGAATATTATCTTTCCAATCTCCTTCATTGTATTTTGTTTGAAAAGGGCAGAAGAAAGGAGGCAACTGAGACATATTTCTCCCACGGCCTGGTATATTACTGAATTCCACAGGACTGCATTTTTAAAGGTACTGTTACCTGAGGGTGGCCTATTTAGTAACATAGAAACTAGATATGCATGATTGACTTACTTCCCTCATGTAACAGCCACGATGACAACTGAAGCTCTCTATAGGTTATCACTGAACCTATCTGAGGTTATGGCATTTAGATATGGACTTAAATCATCTTCACAAAATCACAGTACAAACGAGCAATTTGTTTACACACACACAAACATATACCATGGCAGAAGACAGTGACTAATTGGTACCAACATTTTCTAACAATGTCTATGACACACTCTTTGATTTAAACAATTCAATTGAGTAAAATAATGGATAATACAACATGGAGACCAATAGTGTAGGTACCAACATCAATCCTGAATCTTTCTAGCTCTCTCACTTAGTAAATGTGGATAATATAGTACTCATTTCATAAGATTCTCATGAGGACTAAATAAGATAATGCATGTAAACCACTAAGCACAATGCATGACATGTAATAAATAATGTGAATTACTGCAACAATAATAGTGATAATGATCAAAGAGGTAGATGAGGATAAAAGTGGTGGTGACTGCAGTCTCTTGAAATATGGATAGCAGTTCTACAAGGACATTTTTCCCTTGCCAGGTCAACGCTTGTAAGTAACTGCAGGCTGGGCAGACATTCTACGAATGAGGGACTGAGCAGAATCTTTCAAGCAGAGTCTAAGAACAGCCTCAGTTGGCGAACAATAAGCCGGGCAGTTAACTACTGCACATTATGTCCTATTAGCCAGGCACCACCTTTCTTGTGCAACTCCACAGGACACCCACACCCATCTGAGTGCATCCCTCAGGGAACCACCTCTTCACTGTCATGTTTACTGCTCTAAATTAAATAAATGGAACACTCAGCTGGCTGCCAAATCAATTCCTCTGGCTTTCAGAGAACCTGCAGTAAAGCAACGCTTTCTATGAAACTA